TATTTTAACTACATTGCATTTGAGTATGGAGAGGCAACTATCTGGAAGTATTTTACATAAAAAATTTACTAAGTATTGCCCGGTTTGTAGTTGCAGTTAAAGAAAACACATGAAAAGGCACGATTTTTTTTAAATTCGAAAAAATGTAAATATTTCAAAAACGGTGACACTTTTACCTGAAAATTTTTTGTTTATCAGTGAGCTCACCCCCCCACCTACCTTGCCCTAAAGTTTGGCACGTTACTTCTGGGACACCCTGTATACAGCAGTGGTACGCCTTATATTTTTCTACGGCATGACAGTCTTGCAGACATCACCGGATAAACCGCTCAAAAATTGTAAGTTTACCAAGGTTCAAAGGGCGGTATGCATGCTGATCACAGGGGCGCTGCAATCCACAACCACCAAAGCCATGGAAACACTTCTAAACTTTCTACTTTTTGGGAAGCTACAGGCGAGCTGCAATGCAGTAAGAATAAATGCAGTGTCAAAATGGAAAGACATCAGATTCGGTCACACCAGCATTCTAAACAACTACTCCGATACGTTAAGCCCCCAGATTATACAACACCACCCATGGAGCTCGATAACAAGTTCTCTACTCGTATCCCTTCGAGGAAGGACTGGGAAGACCACCTATCGAATCTTCTCTTAACCTGCCTTCAGTAACTGCTTCAAGACCTTGTCTATAACTACATAGATAGAATATGGGAAAGTCCTTAGCGATTTAAAGGATGGTCGGAAGAACCTACGGGTGCGACTAATCGACAAATCTGATTTAGCTCCGACACGAAAACATCCGACGCACTTATTCGGCTAGAACGCCCTCTACTAATTCTGGCGGCCCGTATCATTACGGGCCACTGCTAAATGGGAGGGCATGCTAGCAGAATGAGTTTGCCGACCAATGACTTCTGCCGTAGTTGCCTCGACGTGGACGAAATCGAGAGTGTGGAGCCACTACCTCTGTCTCTGCCCTGTCCTCATGTGGGTGAGAAGACGTTCATTTCCCCACCACCTTGTTGTATGTCTGCGGTCTTAAGTGGAGGAGGATTTCACGAATTCTCGCGCTTGCGGGACCTAACCAACTGGTTCTACTTCTAGGTTCGAATTCGAGCTCACAATTGGTATCACAACGGAGTCACTGGGTCGGATGGAGGCAGTCGCTTCAACCTAACCTAACCTAAATTGCTTTCGTGAAACCGGCAGTTAGTTTCTGTTATTTTTCAATTGATTAACTTATAAGCCTGAAAATATGTACCAACTTTAACTTTAAGGAAAGTGTATACCAATTTATAAATTTGGCTTATTTTACTTACATACTTACCAACTTTTATTTTTCTATTTTCTTAATAAAATTATTTACACGCATATTTATTTTCAAACTCACCTGCTTCACCCACAGATTTGTGGTCATCACTTGGTTTCGTAAATTGACCTCGATGAGTTGGGAGAGCTTTAAGCCCAACCATACTGTCAGGGTTTCAGTGTTATTAACGACAGGACGTATGAGGCGATTGTAATTGCTCAGCAAGTCATCATAAAGACGCTTCGTATCTGGATTTGCCTCAAAACTGACGGGAGCTATGTATGAGAGAGGTTTTATGTACGTATTTATTAGAAAATGCTCAATTCATTAAAAATAATATTTGAATAGCAGAGATAATTTTGCCAAAGAAAATAATGCATTGTTGCAGAAATTACTCATAGAAAAATTTAATTAATTGGTCATATACAGGCCAATTCTTGCCAAGATAGTAAAAAGTCTTTCGTAGGGCAAACGAAAGTCAGATAGCTAGATAATTCGAAAGACTTTTGTTATTCTTTAAAAAGGCTCCCTCGTTCACCATTTGTAGTGAAAAGAAAGCCCTTGTTGTCATTTAGCTCGCGTTGCTCCAACAGTCGCAATGGCCGAGTGAACAAAGCACAGGCGTACCATTCGAGAGATTCGAGTTCGAGTCTCGGCCTGTGGGATTTTTATTTTAAATATTTTTATTTTTTATTATTTTTAGATTCTATTGTTTTAAAATATAAAATTTTTAATTTCATTCTATTTTTAGAAACTTATTTTATGTATTTTTTCTTTTCAGTTAAATTTCTTTTTCTTAATTTAATTTTCTTTTAATTCTTAGATGGTGTTTTAACAAGAAAATATATATTTTTTTCATTTCATTTAATTTTAAGGAACTTTTTTATTGATTTCTTTTTTAAATAATTATTTTTTCTATTTTTAGTTTAATTTTCTTTTAATTCTTAAATTTTATTGTTTTAAATTTAATTTAGATTTTAAAACCGTTTGTGCACCGCATTGTGTTATGCTCCCTGACGGGGAGCATCTGCGCCTCGTCGTGAAGGTGGTGTTGAGGGGACATCAGAAGGCATCCTATCGCGGTCCAGAGTGCCGTGTCCTGGCATATCTGCAGCTTCATCCACTGCATCCTGCTAATCCCCGGGGACCACACGGGCGCTATATAGTTCAGGACTGGCCGGACAATTGCCTTGTATGTTGTCAACCACGTTTCTTTGTCTTTGCGGCAGGTTCTGCCGGCTATAGACTTAAGGACCTTGTTTCGGCTCTGTACTCGGCTGACAATTGCGGTTGTATGCGCCGAGAAGGAGAGCAAACTGTCGAAGATAACTCTGAGGATTTTTGGGTTATTCACCACCAGAATTGGTTCGCCGTGGACGTGGATATCCAGCTGCAGTCTGACCTACTTCGTCCAGGTGGTAAACAGGGTAGCCGAGGATTTCGTAGGGAAGGGGTTAGGGTCCTTGCAGTGAAGAAGTGAGATAGTTTAGGACTAGCCGGCCAAAATTTATCTTCATTAGAGTTATAACTAGGTAGTTACTTAGCTAGTTAGTCTCTCTTTTAAGGTACTATAACGTCAAAAATATAAACAAATGACAACTCTTCTGTGAAAGCGGGAAGGAATTCATACTGTCTCTTTGGCATTTTCTAGGTGTAGTTAAAACACTATAAACGCACATTTTATATTCTATAAATTTTGCCGCGAAAGCTTACATTGGAAGTAAAGCACTCACGAAAAACAAACGAGCAAAAAAAATCAAAAACAGCTGATGCTAATTAGGAAGAGCACTTTGCACTTAAAGGTATGTATGTGGGTATATCGATCATCAAATATTAGGAGTTTACTCGTACCCAAAAGTATCAAAAGTTTTAGAAAAGTTTTACTGGTTTTGCGTTCTCGTCCCCGAAATCGAGAGAGCAAAATGTGATAGAGCTCTAAATTTCTGCTGCGAAAACTTGCAAGTAAGAACATCAGCTGATCACAAACACTTGTTTGTAAATAAACACAAGTAATTTCTAGAAAAAAAAAAACCGACTTCAACTCTCATATAAATATATATATATATATATCTCATGATCCACTGATCGGATCTTAACCAGATTAGTATTTGAGATACTACCTTTCCGATGCAAAAAGAATTATCGGTTGACGTGGTCCAAAGTTATGCGGTAACATACATAAAAAAAAAATTAATAAAAATAAAAAAAATTAAAAAAATAAAAAAATATTCCGACGAAGTGATAACCTCCTCCATTTTTGGAAGTCGGTTAAAAAGAAAGTATGAGATGTGTACTCGTATTGAGAGGACAAAATTCTCCAGCGCCAAAAGTTCTGAGAATTTAGCAGCATTCGCTCTCAAAGAGACGAAATATCAACGGAAGTACGAGAACGCAAAGTTTGTAAAAACTTGCAACCTTCTAAATAGCTGATCACTTGCATAGTTTCCACTGGTGATTAATTTAGCAATTTATTTTCTGTTTGGTACATTTTTCCCCGATTTGGCATTTTATACAATTGAATCGTTTTGGAAACCTTTTTAAAATACAAATTTATTATATTGGAATGAATAAGTTATTTTTCTCACAATTATTTGTGATATCACATGGTGACGCAATCAAAAATAAGAGAATCTCCTCCAAACACCCATCATTGATCCAAAAAAATTTAATGGGTATAGCTACAAATGTATCTTAAGAATTATAAAAGCCGACAAACTTCAGCAAAAAACATTTCAGCATGCTGCATTTTAATCTATTTTGGTATACTTAAACGAAAATTATGGTACAAACGAAAAATGTCATATGGTAACCATAGTCAGCACACACCTAACCTAAAACCTAACTAACAACCTAAACAAACGTTTTGATTAATAAATTTACCCACTTTTTTGTTGTATACTACCATTAATAATACAATTTGCAATAAATAACTCAAAAACGCTATAGGTAAGGCGTCTTCAACAAAATCTTTCTTTTGAATACTCCAAGAGCCGCCTCATCGGATGTGTTCATTGTCCATACTTCTCCGCAATCTACCGACACGGGCATGTTGAATGTGGTTTTCGCATGTCGTGCTTATTCAGTCCAAAGTAGCACTTGTTGGCAAGAGGGACTCTGCATTGAATTTCGATAATGGCAATAGGTTTGTATAGTAACAAATAGTCAGTACTAATTTGTACTAAAACCTGCTAATTTTTACTGGAAAAGTGTATAATAACCAGTTACCATTTTGGTGCTTTTGCAGCTAGATTTAGCTCTTTATTTTTCTTTCTAGCTCCAAAATTGGGCTTTAGCTCCTAGCTCCTTTTTTAGCTCTTTTTAAAATTTACTAGCACTTTTTTAGCTCCAGAAATTTTTAGTTGTGTTTGGTAATATATTAAAATTACAAATCGTAACTTCATCGTACAAATGTTGGCTAAAATTTATTTGGCTTCGGCGATCTCAGGCTATTTTCGATACCTTCACATTATTCTATTTCGATTAATACTCAGAAAACTTCCATTCCTAATGCAAATGGCGCCTAAGCAAATGGAAAATGGGCAAGTAATTCAATTAGTTTAAGCAACGTGCGCGGGAGCACACAAACTATACCGGACAGTAATTCCAGCTCCGATAAGCTCAGACGATGTATTCTCTCTCAGGCGGCCACGGTGGAAAAGGCATTGATAAAATTACAAATTCCGAAATTTCGATAACATACAATTGTATCCGCGGAAAAATACAGACTATAAACTTATGGATCTAGGCTAATGAATTCCAAAATTAATTAGAAGAAAATCGTTTTTCTGAACGCGCAGATTTTGGTTTTACCTTACTAATTTTACATTTAAGCAGAGAAGGAAGGAAAAATAATATATATATTCGTAACCCGAGTTTTTATGGTCAATTCAAATAACCGAAATTGCAGATTTTAACAGTTTGTAAAGTATTTTTAGTTCATTGTCTAGTTCAGGGGTTCCCAAATTTTTTTCGCCGCGCACCATTGTGCTAAACAAATTTCGCGACACCTTCCGATTTGCATTGCGACCTCACAAACACGAGAAGAATATTAAGTCCTTCTACGTCGGTACTTTCGTCAAGTTGCAAACTAAAAAATTCACAAGCTTGTTACGAGAACAGCCCGGCCAGCAAAAAATCCGAAACCGGGAGGAAAAGTGGATGAAACGCGGACTAGGTCTACAAAAGAAAATTTTCTGATTCAATTTTTCGTTGGCAAAACGTACTGGGTAACTACGCTTAAGAGCGAAATACACCACACAACCGGCTTGACAAACCAAGCGAAATATCATTTTGCTGCAAGCCATTAAGCCATTTGTGTTGTGTATGTGGTTTGATGAGCCGCTGAAGGTAATTTTAATAAAAATCAAAATTTTTTATTCTTTGACCGCAATGTTGAAGTTTGATCAAACCGCTTGCTTTGTGTATGGAAAGTTTAAAGAATTTGCCCGCACCACTAGTATACTCTAAAAGCCGAGCCCTTTTATTTGTCACCTCAATCATTGAAATCCAATGGAACAGTGCGGATCTAATAATTTTTTAGACAGGTGGCAACCCTATAGGAAGCTAAAGCACTAAAGATAATATTCCCATCGTTTTGAGATTAGCGGGGTCTAAATATTTCGACTTTCCTTTATACTATGTATAGACGATAATAGTATCTAATCTTTAAATAGGTGGCAACCTTATTCACAAAATTAAAGCTTTTGTATACGCGAAGGCCATGCCCTTTCATTTGGTATCTCACGATTTGGTAATCCAACGAACGACGAAAATCTTTTAACTTTTTAATATGCCGCAACCCTACTCAGAAATATAATACATTATTTCAGTTGTAGAGGCTAAGTCTTTTCGTTTGACATGACGGTGCAGAACTGATGCCTACGCTTATTTTGATTGAATATAGTAATTTAATTTTAGAGGTGGCCACCCTTTTCAAAAAATAAAATATTAGTGCTTTTCTATAGGTCAATCCCTTTCATTTGGCACCTCAACTTTTGTAATCCAAGGAACGGTGGCAACCCTAATAAAAATCTAAATAAAAAACGTAATTAAATGTTGTCCGGAAAAGGCCATATTCGATGCGTTTGGCGTTAGGTATAAGAATGTTAGGTAATCTGATGTATTATGTGGGCATGTGGACTGGACCGATTGGTGATAGGTGGCGTTGCACGGTGATTCAAAACTGGAATTTAGTGTTCACAATTCACTGGAACCTTCATTTTTTACTCAGTTTGATTATTATTATTTTTTTTTTAATGAAAGCTAATAAAATTTGCAATAGACCCCTGAGCCCGATTTTTGAATTTTTGTTTGGTTGTATTAAATTTTTTAGAGCAAACTTCAGAAAAAGGAGCAATTTTGAAGAAAATCCATTTCCTGTTCCAGTTAATAAATGTTACATAATGAAAACTAGTTGAAAACAATTGTAGAATTCTCCCAAAACGAAAATAAATAAAAAATTAAAAGATTTTAAATGTGACCAAAAAATTTTTACCAAAATTAAATTTTTATTTTTTGGCTTTTATAAACATTTTGGGTATGCAGTTTTTTATATCATTAAATTGTAGTATAATAAAGTGCAAGTAACTAGTGGCTAAGAGTTCACGTTGTTATTTAATAATATAACAAACGCTTTTATTTCTCATTTAGCATCCAGATGTGCTCGAAACGTTAGCGAAAAAATTATGAAAAATCAACGCGATCTCTTAGCCACTTGCTAAGTGCACTTTGTTATACTAGAATTTAATGGTCTATAAAACTGCATACCCAATATTTTTCTAGAAACTCAACAAACATTTTTTTCTTGATGAACCATTTTTTTAGCATTTTAAATTTTTCTTTTCGTTTTAGGGGAACCCTACAATTTTTTTCAACTAGTTTTTGTCATGTGACATTTATTAACTGGAACAGGTGAATCGATTTCCTTCAAAATTACTACTTTTTCATCACCTTGTACTAAAAAATTTAATGCAAACAAACAAAAATTCAAAAATCGGGCTTAACTGGTCTCTTGCAAATTTTATTAGCTTTCATTAATAAAAAAAATAACAATCAAATTGATTGAGACATGAAGGTTCCAGTGAATTGTGAACACTAAATTCCAGTTTTGAACCAATGTGCAGCGCCACCTATCACCAGTCGGTCCAGTCCAATTTGAGTAAGACCCCAACTACCTCTCCACATGCCCACATAATACATCAGCTTACCTAACATCCTTCTCCCTACGGCCAAACCCTTCGAACATGGCCTTTCCCTGACAACATTTAGTCGATTCACTTATTTAGAAAGAGTTTAGTAAGCTGCTGCAACAATAAACACGGATTTTCGTTCGGTTTTCCTTTTGTTTTTTAAGTGATTTTCTGCAATGAAAATTTTCCAGTATTCAGATATAAAGGCTGCGTTTCTTTATACATACCAGATAATCCCATTTCACAGCCAGAATAAACAGAATGCGTTTGAAATATACGTTAACATTATCATCAGAAACGTTCTAAATAATAAGTAAACAAAAAAGTTTATTCCAAACGTTCAGAATGAATAAAGAAATGCAGCCAAAAATAATAAAAAAAAAATTATAGTTCCATTTTCAATAAAATAAATATGTATCTAGAATATTTGATTCAGGTATACAAATGAACAAGGCAAAAGCTCGGTTTATTCGATTGTAAAAATCTGTTTTCGAAAAATCAAGATTTGAAGAAAACCGCCTGAAAATATTAAAAAAAAAAACACCTGTTTGAAAAAACCGAGTCAATCACCCTGGTGCATACATACATACGTTATTTGCACCAAATATATAAAGAGGTTACGCAAAGCCATGTATTTAGTATTCCCTATCTTTCTCGTAAGCGAAGCACGTGCTCAATGTAAACATAAACATCAAGAAAAAANAAATCTGTTTTCGAAAAATCAAGATTTGAAGAAAACCGCCTGAAAATATTTAAAAAAAACACCTGTTTGAAAAAAACCGAGTCAATCACCCTGGTGCATACATACATACGTTATTTCCACCAAATATATAAAGAGGTTACGCAAAGCATGTATTTATGTATATGTATATGTATTCCCTATCTTTCTCGTAAGCGAAGCACGTGCTCAATGTAAACATAAACATCAAGAAAATATAAACAAAAACAAGAGTCTTCCCAAACAAACCCATACCCCTGTCATATACGTATGCATATGTACATATGTATGTGCAAGTATGTCCTCACTCCACCTTAGAAAAATTTCCCAAAACAAAAATTTGACGCATGCGTCCGAACGATTAACGCACTGACAGTTGACTCTCCTCAGACTAACCCACCCTTGGTTGCCAAAACCCACAAAGGTATACAAAATATACATATAGTATTGAATTTTTCCACGCCCAACCAATGTATGTAAAAAGCATTTTTTCAATTGTCCTGTGGCACTTACGCGTTGCATTGCTGTATGCGAATAGAAGTAAAAAATGCACAAAAACTATTTTTAACATCTTTACAATTAGCCGACGTTAATTCATTTATTATTTCATATGAAAAAATGTTAAAAATGGTTTCACATATTTTTCAAATTAATTTTAGATATCGAACGCGAGTCGAGCGCTTTGTCCGCGTGTTAAGGAAGCGCTCATTCGTAGGACTAAATTGTGATGAGTGCGACCAGTTATGCGGATGCTGTATTGGCATTCACTAATTTGACAGATGAAAATATGTGGAATTTCCCTTAAAATCTTGAAGGGGAAGTTCCTCTTGGATAACGGTATATACTTAAGTTTTTAAAACCTTTAAATTGGAAAATTAATCAAACAAATTTTCTTAAAATAACTTAATAAGAATAAAACAAAATAATTAAAATAATTAAAATAAAATAAAATGAAATAAAATCAAATCAAGTCAAATCAAGTCAAATCAAATATAAAATATCAAATATCAAATATGAAATATAAAATATAAAATATAAAATATGAAATATAAAATATAAAATATAAAATATAAAATATAAAATATAAAATATAAAATATAAAATATAAAATATAAAATATAAAATATAAAATATAAAATATACAATAAAAAATATGTATGAAATATAAAATTTTAAATATTAAATACAAAACATATAACATATAAAAAATATAAAATAAATGAAATGTATGCATAATATCTATCTATACATACATATGTATAATAAAATTGTAACAAGCTGATATCTGTACATTATAGATGTTAAGGAAAAGTTAATACGGGGGTCTTTATTAGAGCAATAAAAGCCAAATCAACAATTTTTAGAATTTTTTCTGTCTGTCTGTGTGCTTGTACGTGCATCACTCAAAAAGTGATGCATGAAATTGAATTCAGTTTTCACTGATGTATTGCTAAAGGTCTAGCTTAAAATATAGAAAGAAAAAAACTAAGAGAGTTGCCACCTGTTTGAAGATTGCAGTCTTAGTAAATTTATATGATAGAGTAAATATTGCATTACCTGTCAAAAAAAAAGAGGTTTAAAAAAAATATAAAATATAAGTAGAATAAAAAAATAAAATGAAATAAATTTAAAAATAAAATAATGTAAAATATTATTTGTAAGATAAGATAGCATGTAACAGTATGTTATTCCCAAAAAAGTTTGGCTAGAAATCAATTTAGTTTGTTCTTGTATACCCGACTGTGTTGGAAACGATTCGGCGCAAAGGGTATCTGCATAATTTTCGCTACTGGCGCCAGCAAGATAGAGAACATCCGCCACCTGGCCACCGTTGTCGCCTGTTTGTTGAATCGTTAGTACGTTGGAACTGGTGAATCGATTTCGAGAACCTTGTATCTCTCTTCCGCATATTTTCGCGAAAGCGATGAAGTTAATGGAACAGTGAAAATGCGCTTCGCCAGAAAGAATGATTTTTCTCGCAAAACCGTTATCAATTTCGTTTGCATCATTTCCCAAAAGTGTTCAAGCGTTAAGCTAATCATTTCGTTCTGCGACTTTGTAATACTGACGTTTTGTCAATGTTTGAGCGGGAAAGAGCTGCTTTCCGACCGCCTACCCTGAATGTTCATTTCATCCCCCTAAAAACTTTTCGCTGAGTCTTTCAAATTCGTTGCTTGGCGACCACTATTAACTGTATGGGCAAACAAAAATAAATCCATATTTTCAGGAAGAACTTCATATTTTCATTTGTTTACATATGTGTCCAAAAGTAAGATATGTTAGCTTTTTATAATGGCTATTAGCTTTAATTACAATTACCCTAAAGTAGCGCGCGAAGCAGGTTTCAAACTGCGCCAATACAAAGATGGACCCATCGACTGGCACATCTTAGGTAAACTGCACACACTCACGCATTATCAAGAACTAAATGTACTATCCTTTTTAACCAACCAATGTTTCTCGTCATAGGCTCGATTGAAATAGATCGCCTTCTGCAGGATCAACGAATCGATCAGGTGGACGGATTATTGAGCCACCTCTCCGAAGCACCATTGGCCGCAATGTTGGACACCAACATTTTGGACAGCGGCATCGCCAAGTATTTCGTAGTCTCGCAGTTCGCCATACAGTATCTGTTGTTCTGTCGTAAATTCCTCGATGAAACTATACGCGAGCTGCGCGAAGCACACGCCAACTCGCAAATGGATGTCGCCAAATTGCGTAAATCGCTAGCCGAGGCGAATAATGAGATTCTACAGCTGCACAAGAAGATCACACAAATCGAGGCCATACACGAGGTGGTATATCCATGCCATCTGTGCACGAAGAGCTTCATCAGTAATGAGGCGCTAAATATACACATTAGCCGGCGGCATGCAGCGCGCGTGGCAGTCAATGCGCCAAATATAGGGGCTACCGTTGCCGCTAGTGGCAACGCCGCGGCTGATCGTCGCACCGAAACGCCGGCCAGCGCTGCCACAAGGGAGCGCGAGCATAACGATTTACAGTTGATCAACGCCGTCAAGTTGGAGCTGGAGATAAAGCAGTTAAAGGAGCGCCTTAACAACGCAGAACGCGACATACGCGAACGCAGCGGGGCGGCGCCGTCGCATAGCAGACGCGCCACGCCACGCGAACCGCCAAAATCGCTGAAGAGCGTCGCTATTCAAAGCGAATTGCTCGAGACAAAGGAGCAGGATGATGGTGCCGATGCCACCTTGAACAGCGTGAGCACTGATAGCAGCGAGGTGAGGGAACGCAGAGCACAACTTGGTAAGCTGCAGGCCAAAATACAAGAATTCGAGGCGTGGCGCGAATCGCAGCAGGCCAATAATGAGGAGTCCATAGCGGAGATAAATCGGAAACTTGGAGAAATTGTGCATACATTGGAGGAAGCGAAAACAACAACAACAACAACGGCGTTTTCTGTGCCAGTCACTGGCATCACGAGTGTCGAACCACGAGGTGATGATAGATCAGAGCGGAGGGCAGCAGATGACAGCGTTGATGCAGTAGCAGCGGCACTGCAAAGACGCGGCTCACCCTCGGTGGAAGATATTGAGCGACTATTAACTGAGAAAGTTGTTGAAATCGGTCAAAAAAGCGCCGAAAAACTTGAGGAATTCGTGCACAATATGGAAGTGAACTATAAGGAGAAACTGGAAGAGCTTGAACGTGAGATAAAGAAGCGCAATGCTGCAGAGCTTGTCACGCCTGTAGAAGCCGTCGATATAGTAACTAGTGTAAAAAAAGCTTCAGCTTTAAAGGATTCTACGCGGAACATTACTTACACTGCATTTAATCGTACGGAGAGCGATTCTAGCGTAAGCGCCGGACCGAGGCCTGAACCGGCAAAGCGCATGCCTCGCATTAAACGCAGTTCAACCTTGTTGGCAGAGCCTATTGCGATTCAAAAAACGCAACGAGACGCTGATGAGACATATGTCATTAACGGTAATGAGGACAGACAAGATTCAACTGCTGTGAAACCAAAGCCGCGTGTGCGCAAAATTAAAAGTGTAGAATCGTCTGCGTCGAATAAAAAGAATACGCAAGGAGAGGAGTTATATTCGCAGAGCACTGAAAGTAACAGAACATTTGTCAAAGCGGAGAAGCTTCATGACGTTGCAGTGAGGAGGAAAGGTACACGATACAATATACTTCGTCGCTTGGCGTGCAATACCGCGTAAACGCAAAATGCAATAACGCGTTTGTGGTGGCTGAGAAAAAAAATTATTTTCGGTATCCTGTCTCAGTGCTGGCCTACTTCACAAATTCACTGGTCAATAATTGCAATAGAAGCTTATATTAGCTCAGTTAGAAAAACATTCAAAAGTTTAAAAGAAAATAAGTTTATTTGCACTTTTGTGAAGTTTTCAGACTATCATATACGCTGTATTGCATTTCGCATATATGAGCTTATTGACCATTTCAGAGAAAAGTCTGAACTAAAAAAAGTCATTGAATTTGAAACCGAAAAATTTCTAGTTTAAAATTTTTTTTTTCGAATGGTGCGTCTAAAAGAATGTAACATTTAACGGCCTTAAATCGTCCTTTGTTAATTCACAAAAAGCAAATCATTAGCTTAAAGCAAAAAGTCGCTAAGTCCTGTTTTTCAAACTTCCGAGATAGAATGAAAACCTTGGGACTTGTCACATTTTCTGTAACTATTCTGTAAATTACATTTCACTGAATAGAAATGGTAACAAATAAAATATGTAAGTTCGGTCTTTTCGAAAACGATGCATTTTCACTTGCTTTTGCTTTTTGCACGAAAATAACTTTCCTTAGAAAAGTGGATATAGCAACTTTTCACTCTAAGCTAGCGAAATATGTAATAAAATTTTCTAGACTTTATATAGAATAATAACACAAATCGGGATTATTATTTTACTAACAGTTTATTTAAAACTTAATATTTGAAAATCGTTGGTTTTATATTTTATATACATGGAGATATATTTGCGAAATTTTACTATTCCAAAATTTTTGTAGAATCTGGAACCGCTGCAACCGGAAATGACAGCACGGACATAACACAGACCTTAAGCACCGAAAGCGAAAGTGATGGCAGTAGCAGCAAATCAGAGGTAGAACCAACTCCTGCAGAGGCGGCAAGAGTCAAACAAAGAATAAAAACCAAGTAATTACGTTTGCAATTATGAATGTGATACATTGAATTTTAATAAAATGTGTTTTCTTTTATAGAGTACCGCAAAAACCAAAACCTTTCACCCGTAACGATGCGCAGCATTTGGCGAATAAACGCTTGATTGCAAGCGGCCTGGAACCAAAGACAAATGGCATATCCACAGCAGCAATGAAACGCCTGAGTGCTGAGCTTACACACAAACGGCACAAGTTGAAGCAGGTATGCAATGGATTAATCATGTGTTATTAATAACTAATTTTTAAAATACATTTTCGGAACCGCAGAAATATGCAAATTTCTATGCAACGCGCAACAAAATCAAAAAACTTGTCGACAAGCTTTGCTCTACAAAACTACCTGCCCCTGTCGAAGATATGCTTAAACACGCCAAACCAATTAAGCCAAAAGAAACATACGTTGTTCAGCGTCGTCGACACGAAGACGTACAACTTCCCTCGGATGTTGAAGGGTTTGAAGACCTGGAGGCCACTTCTACACCAATACAAACACCACAAAGCTTGTGTGAAAGCAATGTATTTAAGCAACGCTTGGAACGCATACTGGCATCACCAATGAGGCAACCGAGATTCGACCATACCATCTTAAGCGATCAACAACCAACGAC